CAGGTTTTAGTTTGTGTGTTTGAGGTATAACTATGTGAAGAGGCAGGTGTTGATGTGTGGCTTGACAGTAATCACATCTTATATATCTTCCCACTCCCCATTCCCATGAATTGTGCCCAGTTAGGAGAAGTGAGGTCACAGCATCTGTGGTGGGGTGAGCTCTTCCCGCTCCTCAGACCCCTAGCCCTCCTAGGAGGTCTTGAGTTTCCTGTTGGGCTGCCTGGCATTCTGTGATGCTGAAGGTGATATGAGGAGAGATTGGCAGGGTGAGAACCTGTTAGGGAGTCAGTTCTGGACCCTGGAGTCAGAAGGGGATCACAGACACCCTGGACAGACTCAGGATGTGTGTGCACCTCTGACTGTTTCCCTCTGTGTTCAGAGCAGGAAGGACCTGGTCGTGAGCAGTGGGATTTGAAATAGCCTTGCAGGTGGGACAAAGCAGATGTACCAGTGACCTTCCTAGACTGACCTCCGAAGACCACAGCAGATGGGGTAACTTGGCAGGCCAGGGTATGTGCCCCCCGCCCTGAGATGTCTGGGGTGTGAGCTGGGAGACCCCGCCACTGAGTGGAATGGAACCTTGAGTTAAAAAAGTGAATCAAATTTAAAAAGCTACACTTTTGCCCATTTGGGTTTGTGGACTGAGATTTAAACCTGCTATAGGGGCTTTATAATGTCACTATGAGTCAGAATCGACTGGATGGCAATGGGTTTGGTTTTTTTTTTTTTTTTGTACAGGGCTTTGGAGCCCTGGTGGTGTACTGGTTAAGAGCTGGACTGCTAACCAGTTCAAATCCACCAGCTGCTCTTTGGAAACCTTGTGGGGCAGTTCGACTCTGTGTTATAGGGTCATTATGAGTCAGAACGGACTTGAGGCACCTAATAACAACAACAACATGGGGGTTTGAGGGGCTGTTGTTATGACGAGAGGGCCTTGGGGAGATTGGGAGGGGCACACGACAACCCTCACTCTTTCTGTGATTTCCTAGGTCGTGACAAAAGAAAGTGACATCCAGAAAGGAGAGGGGAAGCTGCACAGGTCTTCTTTACATAGGATCTATGTGTAACAGCGAGTGGTGGAAGCAGAACCAGGAGGCACAGCATGCGAACAGCACCCCTTGCAGGTAGAGGCAGTTGCAAATCTGCAGGTGAAGGCAGTTGCAAGTCTGTGGCTGGTTCCTGAGGAAAGGCCATGTTCTCACAGGGCCCTGGAAGAAAGCAACCATCCAACCACCCCCTCTGTGACCTCACTTTGGGCCCTCGGTTCTGTGTAGGGTGGACATGCTCACCTGACTTCTCTGAGTAGGAGAAGCGCAGAGATTCTGTGTCACATGAGAAGAAAGGAGAACTCTTCCGTGAGGAAATGGAATCCCAGCGTTCGGGTCTTCGTGTTGGAAAGACATTTCACAGGGCTAGACATAGAAGCGAGGGCTGTGGCGAGCTGAAGGGTTCGAGGCACTCTGCTTAGGTTTTTAACCCTGTGCCAAGAAAATACATCTGACAATGGAATTCCAGGACCATCTAGTTTTGGCTTTAGTTTTACAGATGAGGAAAGAGACTTGGGGAAAGGAAGTCTGTCCACAGCAGACTGATTTTAAGAGCTGTCTTTGGCTGTGAAGAATGGCTTTTAAAATTTTTCGTTCTCACATCCTCAATTCAGCCATTCCGGTATTTGTTCTCTGTTCCAGCAGAGAGTGCCCCTTGTCCCTGGCCCCTGGTGGAGCTGTTCCAGGCACCCCGGGGAAGCCGGGCGTGGATGGAGCTCATTGTATAGGTCGCCTTGGAAACGGGCCACTAATAAGCACCAAGGTCCACCCAGAAATGAAAGGATCCGGAACCTCCAGCTCCTAAGAGCGATTTTCTTTTTTCTGAACTCTGAAGTCAGTAAGTGGGAGCGATAGAGCTTAGCCACACAGAGCCACCGGGAAAGGCTCTGGAGCCCTGGGGAGGGATGCCGGCGACATGCAGACCTGCGGTAGTTTCTCGGAGGCACAGCCACACCCAGCCCGGAACAAGGGCTGCGCCCCAGTAACAACGGGTGGCACGCCTTTCTCTGAGCTGGTGGGGCTAACCGTGGGGCGCAGAAAACCAGACTAGCCCAAGAAAGCGTCATGTTTGGCATGCAAGCCGCTCATCAGAACCAGAGAGACGGGCGCCCCCTCCCGTGCAGACACCCCGATAAACCGGGACTTGAGTGCTGCCGTCTCCTCGGGAGGGCACCCCGGGCGGGGGAGGCTGCCTTCGCTCCAGGCCCCGGCCGGGTCCCAAGCCCGGAATCACGGCCGTGCTGGCTGGGGGAGGCCCCGCGGCTTCCAGAAGACCCCTGGGCGTCCTGTCGAGGCGAACGCCCCTCGGGCGCGGGGACTGCAGACGCCCCCGCCGCCCAGCAGGGCAGGGCGCTGAGTCAGCGGGCTCGGGCGCTCCAAGGAGAAGTCCTTTTTTGGAAACCTGCAGTCACTTCCCCGGCCGGCCGAAGCCTCGGTGGGTGACGCGATCCACAATGGGCGGGGGCGGGGGCGGCGGGCCTGCCCTCCCCACGGCGGATGGGGGACTGCAGAGAGGAGCTCGCACATGCCTTGGCAAACGCCTTCCATCTGCACCGTACTCCGAAAACAGAAGGGAAGAGATGACGCAAAAATGCTGACTTTTTCAGTGTGTCTCAAGGAATGTTACCTTGATTCATTGGTTTTTACCTCGAGGGGCGGGGGCATTTCCTGGCTCAGTTCTCCAGCCAGATCCTACCAGCACCAAGCTCAGAGACAGTGAGACCCCCGGGTGAGAGGAACTGACTCACAGCAAGGAGGCAGGGAGACAGAGCTGTGTCTGGGAGGGGCCAGCCGCAAGGTCGGAGGTAACCAGGAGCCACAGATACGGGGCCGGGTGTTTGTTCTCGTGCTTCAGGATACCCTGGAGTGTCTGCGAGTCAGCGGGGAAAGAAGAAAGGCCGCCACGGAGGCAGCATTTCTTAGGAGGAAGATCAGAAGCTGCTTACACTTGGACTTGCCTCCCAGCATTTGTTTCCCCTTACTCTGGTGACAGCCCCCTTTTACCGTGAGTGTCCCCACTCAGTCCACATGGCGGGGGCTTACCCTGGCCTGTCTCCAGGGCTGAGTGCACAGCCTGCCTGGCCAGAGCCCGCCACCTAGCACCATAACTGCAGGCCACAGGTCATCCTCAGAACTTCCTGTTGTGGGGGCTGCTGGCTCTTATCTTCCTCCCCTGGGAGGACAGCCATCCTGATAACGAAGCCACCTCAGAGAAAAGCAGGCTGAGAAATGAAGCGATGGCCCCACATCCTCACTGAGTGTCTGTGACCAGCCAGGCCCGGAGCTAGAGCAGCTGCTGGCCTCCTCAGTGATGTGAACCAGTGTGGCTCCTTTCCAGCCTCAGCCGGCTGACTCGGGGTTTATTCCCCTGACCAAGGGCCCTGACTGACAACATACGCAACATTAGGAACTAAAGATGCCTAGTACCATGCCTCCTTTTCCAGCAGGGTTTTTTGTTTGTTTAGAAAAAGGCTGACAGTATGGCTTGAAATCAAAACCACAATGAAATACCACTTCACACCCACTATAAAAAAATGGAAAATAACAAATGTTGGCGATGATGTGGGGAAACGGGAACCCTCATCCACTGCTGGTGGGAATGTAAAATGGTGCAGCCACTGGGAAAAACGGTTTGGTGGTTCCTCAAAAAGTTAAATATAGAATTACCACGTGACCTAACAATTCTACTTCTGTGTATATACCCAGAAGAATGGAAAACATCGCCTCAGACACATGTACACCAATGTTCACTACAGCATTACTCACAATAGCCAAAAGGTGGAAACAACCCAAATGTCCATCAACAGATGAATGGATAAACAAAATGTGGTACATCATACAGTGGAATATTATTCAGATATAGAGAGAAATGAAGACTTGATACATGGTTGAGTCTTGAAAACATTATGCTGAGTGAAATAAGTCAGATACAAAAGGACAAATACTGTATGATTTCACTTACATGAAAGATCTAGACTAGGCAAACACAGAGACAGAGTAGATTAGTAGTTACCAAGGGCTGGGTGAATGGAGAAATGGGGGAATGGGGAGTTATTGCTTAAAAAAAAAAAATCATTGTTAAAATAAAGTTTTGTCAGAATAACAAAAACAAAAGCCAAAAAAAACTTTTCACAAAGGAAACTTCAGGCCCAGAGGATTTCACTGGTGAATTCTATCAAATATTAAAGGAAGAAATAAATGCAATATTACATACACACACACACACACACACACACACACACACACACACACACACACACACCCCCCAACAAAAGAAAGAAAGGGAGAGAGGGAGGGAGGGAGAAAGGAAGGAAGGAAGAAAGAAAGAAAGCAAATGAACGAACTGGAAGTGCTGCTTGAAGACTTTCAAAAGTTCAAGTCCTTGAGGTTTCTAGTCCCTTTGGGCTCATTAAGGACCTACATTCAAAACAAACCAAACAAACCAACCCCGCCCCCGACAAAGTAACTTTTGATAGCTCTTTATTTTTGTGGCATCAAGTACTAATAAAGACTTAAAAGTGACGGAAACTGTTGGCAGAACATTTTTGGCTGAGTTTCCCATCGACGTGAAAGCATTGTGTGCTTTTTTGGGAGATGAAGGAGATACAAGGAAGAACGGCACATATTTAAAGTAATTCTTGCGGCTAATTTATGGCAGTAGGTCTGCAGCATGTGTTGCTGCTCCTCAGCCACTCCAGGCCACACCTGCTACTTGGTAGCTTCCTAAGGTCCACGAGCCCCTCCCCACCGCCCTCCTCCTTCCAGGGCACCCTGCTGCACAGCCCCCATTTCAAATAACATGACACTCCTTTTCTTTCATCTGGTACCAGTCCTGAGCAGAAGTGGCCGGCAGCCTGCAAGTGGCACGTGGCTAAGAACATGAGCATCTTCAGAATTAGTTATTTGAAGCAGACAACTGGATAAAAAGGCTGGCGGTGCTCCCCATGCACGTCGTTACCCACACGTGGGCGTTCCCTCGGAGCGTGACCTGGGAGCAGGCGGCTCTTCACAGTCACCCAGCATACGCAGCATGTACGTGCCCGTGTAGAAGAGAAACTGCCCGGTCACCTGGGTGGCGTAGGACAGGAACCGCAGCACGCTCCTGGGAGGAGGAGACAAGGAGATGTGTCAGGCTGAGGGCCAGCTCTGTTCCCACCACCCTCTCTGAGCTCAGGATGCACAGACATTCACAGTGCTTCAGTGCGGGAGAAGCACTGATCTAATGCTCTAACGGCACACAGGTCACCTGGTATCGTGATACTGTGCAGGCGCCAATCCACTAAGGCGCCCAGATGATGTGATGCTGCTGCTCCAGGGTCATCCTTTAAGCAGCATGGCTTCTACGCCACTTCCAAATCTGGCCTGACTGTTGTTCGTGCAGGGAGCTCTAGGTGAGGTAGACCTCCACTACACAAATGGAATGCTATGGCTAGTACTTTGACTACTTGGTTGTTCCAGTGGCCTTGTTTGTTGTGTGACATTTGTTACTGACATCGATAAAGTCAGTGTGAAAGGAGAAGCCAGGCTAAAGGAAAGGGCAATGAGGGTATTCAAACTTCTTCCCAGGTTTGGCAGTAGTGCTACTTCAGACTAAAAAAATACCTTTAACTCAAATTCTTATTCTCTACCTAGTCCAAAGCTAAAGGATTTTACTCTGCTTTTTAAGGTTCCGTCACTTCTAAGTTAGTAGCGGGACAGCGATCAAGTGAGCCGTGGCTGAAGCTCCTACTGGGTCACTAGGCCGGGGAGGGCCAGCTGCCTGGCCTCAGGCTCTTGGCCACGCTGTCCTGGGGGCCTGCACCCACGACGGTTGCCTGTCCTTTGATGCAGACTCCCTCGCAGGCGGTGCTTTGGTTTTGGGGTTTCAGCGAATTCTGTGGCTGCTTGTGGACTGACTTTTATCTTTCAAGAAAGATTTTGCCAAGGCGGGGTTTTGGGGTGAGGTTTACTTTCTTCATTATACTGTCTAAGTTGTAACTCATGCCTCACTTTAAAAATTGAACAATAAAGCTGTTTTCCCCCATTTTAGCAAAAATAATCAATATTTCTACACTACATCAGTAACTGTTGTCTGAGCATTGCTACTAACGCTGCAAGTGGAATATGGAAGCTGCACAGAAGCCAAACGCCTGGCCAGCCTTGGGCAGGCAAGACCCGCGGAGCAGAGCAGCCTCCACCCCAAAGCCTTTTCCCTCCAGTACTCTCAGGGAAGCGGAGGGCGGCCCTATGGGGATGGCAGAGGAAGAGGAGGGCAGCCCTATGGGGACAGCAGAAGAAGGAACAGTGCCCTCAAAGAGAAACATTTTCAGGCAAGCCCTGGCCAGTGGGGATTTACAGACAGCGCTGGAACATAGCAGTTGCAAACTTTTTATAGTAGCTTCGAAGACCATCTCGTGCTGTCAGCCTCTCTCCTTCCATCCATTCCCGCTACAGAGAATTAGTTCTTCAGAGAATCAAGGGCGAATTTATTTAAGAACTGGAAGTAGATGTATTTAGAGCCTATGCAACCATAACAAATTTGGAAGTAACCTTCTCGTTTTAAAGATGATGAAACTGAAGCTCAGAGAAGCTGAGTAACTTGCCACCCAGCTGGTTGCTCAGGAGTAAGGCAGGTGTCCCTGTCAGACCAGGGTTCTCAAACATCCTGGATTGCTCACAGAGATCTAGGTACAAGTTGGGAGTCTGTTTTCTAAAGGCTCCCAGGTGATGCCCTGCAGACAGCCTGGCACCAGCCTCGGGGGCACTAGGGCACGACGTGCGGGAGGAGCACGGCAGGGCCACGCTACCAGCAGGGGCAAGTTAGCAGTACTGCTGCAAGTACACGTGAAAGAGTCCACGGTGGTGGGCGTGGCTGCACTACACATCGGGCCAGACTCTCCAGGGTCTGGTCTTAGCTGCTGTTGCTCACAGTTCATGTTTTAAAGTGTGCAGCTCTAGTTTTTAAAAGGAATTTGGTTCTTCTTTGTATTTATTATGTGGTTTTTGTTTCCATTTAGTATTTAATGGTCTTTGGAGAAAAAAATATTATATTTTGGCTCAAGATAAGACTTTCTGTTTTTTGAAATAAGTCTGTGGCATGAAGTTAAACTGTTCTAAGACAACACAAAATAGAGTGTATTTAAACAACAACAAGTTAGAGCAGACCTCAGGCTCTGTGCCCAGGGAGCAAAGGAGTAAGCTGGGAGCAGCCATCCTGCTCTGTGACCTTGAGCTGTCGTGAGGCCCCTGTGGGTGACTCCTGTGAAGTCCCTTACCTCAGCAGGGCCTTGGCACTGGTACACCGGATGTTGTAGGACACAGAATACATCTCATACATGGTGGCCTTCACACTGAGGCTGCCGATGAAGTCCCTGGGGTTCAGCTTGTATAAGTCGAAGGTGAGTCTCGCTATTCCCGATTTCTTTGGCTGCTGGTAAGCTGGAGCATACTTACTGCCCTGTTGTAATGAAGGCATAAATAGACTTTAGGAGTGTTCCTAACTATGGCATTTATATCTTGTAATTCTGTTTTTACGTTAGTTTCAGACTCTTGTAAAAGTTTAAAATCTGTTAGCAACTAGTCTGCTAATTATCTGAGTAAAGTTTTTAGCAGAACAGTATCCTTATACCACTTTGATGTTCAAAAGGTCCCAGGGTGGTGCAAACAGTTTGCTCTCGGCTATGAACCGGAAGTTTGGCAGTTGGAATTAACCTAGCAGCACCTCGAAAGAAAGCCCCGGTGCAGTGCGATGGATTGCTTTTGTGTGGCCTTTCTCGGCATGGTCTTGTAACTCCCACCCAAGTGATTAGGTGGGACTATGCAAATAAGGTAATTGTGGCCCACAATTGTGGTCAGTTTTGCCATCCCACTAGGCTTGAAAGAGAGCCAATTCCAGAGCAAGAAAGAGGATCTCACCACCACCAAGGAAGAAGAACCAGGAGTAGAGCATGTCCCTTGGACCTGGGATTCCTGTGCTGAGACCCTCCTAGACCCAGGAGACAGAGAGAGAGCTGTAACTCTAAAGATGGCAAGACGGCAAGAAGCAGCAACAGAAAATTAGCAGCAGCAGAGGCAGCAGAACCAGGAGACTGACAGGAGACGAGCAGGATGGTGTGGTCAGCTTCCGAGCCCATGGAGTGAGAAAGCTGAGTGTCTTTGGGCAGGAGGCTGGCTGGCAGAGTAGGGTGCCTCTTGGCACTTGGTGGAACTAGGTTTTCCAATCCATGGAGCTAGAGCTCAGCGCCTAGGCCGAGGCTTACTAGCTGAGTAGCGTACCTCTGAGCACTTACTGGCAGAGCTAAAAGGGCTTTGTAATACTTGACAGAGCAGGGCAGAGGTCAAGGGGCCTGAGAGAGGTATGCCTGTGGGCACAGCTGAGAAGAGGCTATCCTGATGGAAGAACTGTATCCTGAGTGTTCCTGAACCTGAATTATAAGCTGTTACTTGCCTAATAAACCCCATAACTGTCAGTATGGTCTATGAGTTCTGTGTGGCCATTGCAATGAATTATCAAACTCAACAGAGAAGTAGAGAGTGCTGTGGGATGACTGGTGTCAGAGTTGGTAAAGATGGTGGAGAGAGGAGGCATGTCTGTTCTCTGCCTCATAGGAATCAGCCTTGGGCTGTTGGTCTTGGTCCTCCTTGCCCCTTGTGAAGTTAGAGGAGAGGAGGTCAGACATTGCCCCCAGGCAGTTTTCACACCTGGTGATCTGCTTCCATATACATTACAGCCAAGAAAACCCTATGGAGCAGTTCTACTCTATAACACACGAGGTTGCCATCGAGTTGATTCCGACGGGTTTGGTGTGGTTTGGTCTGTCCAAATTAAATAATGAAGTATCTGCCCTTTCGCACTTTCAGTTTAGTGACTCAGGATGAGTCTGATCTGGCTTTGGGCCTGGATTTTAGGGTAACACTGTGCGGTCAATGTTGTGCTATGGATACATGGTGTTGAGACTCACTCTCCCTGGTAACTTAAAGCTACAATGTTACTTGATGGACATGGATGGTCTCATCTTATGACTACAACACAATAACACCTTCAGAGAAGCTGTTTCCATTACACAAGTGGAACTAGGCAGAAAGTACCAGAATCACATGGCTGAAGTAAGGGGTAGAATTAGAACCTTCCCAGTGCTTCCCCACAGCCACATGTTCTGTTTTCTAGTAACTGCCCTGGATGGAAGCTGACTTCTTGGGAACACTAATACCATTTGCTTACAGTATCCACTCTTAGTCTACCCAAAACATCAGCTGATCCTTGAGATTGGGAGGGGTAAGGCAGAGACCCCTGAAAATCCTTAGATTTATAAATAACACTGTAACACAATCTTTACCACAAAGAGCTTTAAAAAAAGACGAAGAGAACAAAGCAGTCCCAAAGTGTAGGAGCTGCTCCTCCTAAGTAGTTTACTCCACACACTAACCTTGCAGTATTCAGAATTCAAATTTAGACAATTAATTGATTTACTACATCTCAAGAACCTCTGAAATTGGAAGCAGTTGACATTGTGAATGTTAACTTCATTAATGACAATAATCTAATATAGTTGAAGTTAAAACATAAGCTCTCTTAAAAGAACACAAGTCCTTTTTATTGCAGCCACTCTTCTTTAATTCCATAGACCATAAAACATTTAGATGTCTATTGCACCCTTTTGGTCCATTGGGCCAAAGAGACCCAATGTCTAATGCACATGAGGCCCTGCTGCCTTTTTAGGGTGTACAACTATCCATCATTTAGGAAGCATTATTTTTAAAAGTTAAGATGATCAGCCCCTATGGAAAAGAGTTTGGTGGTTCCTCAAAATGTTAAATGTAGAACTACCGTATGACCCAGCAAGGCCCAAGTCCGTGAATTGGGGAAAAGACAGTCTCTTTAACAAATGGTACTGGCATAACTTGATATCCATCTGCAAAAAACTGACCATACCTCACACCATGCACAAAAACTAACTCAAAATGGATCAAAGACTTAAATATAAAATTGAAAACCATAAAGATCATGGAAGAAAAAATAGGGACAATGCTAGGGGCCCTAACACATGGCATAAACAGAATACGAACAATGAACAAGCACCAGAAGAGAGACTAGATAACTGGGAGCTCCTAAAAATCAAACACTTATGCTCATCAAAAGACTTCACCAAAAGAGTCAAAAGACAACCTACAGAATGTGAAAAAATTTTTGGCTATGACAAATCCGATCAGCATCTAATCTCTAAAATCTACAAGACACTGCAAAACCTCAACAACAAAAAGACAAATAACCCAATTAAAAAATGAGCAAAGGATATGAATAGGCACTTCGCCAAAGAAGACATTCAGGCAGCTAACAGACACATGAAGAAATGCTCACAATCATTAGCCATTAGAGAAATGCAAATGAAAACTACAATGAGATACTATCTTACCCCAACAGGGCTAGCATTAATCCAAAAACCACAAAATCATAAATGCTGGAGAGGTTGTGGAGAGACTGGAACACTTATACACTGTTGGTGGGAATGTAAAATGGTACAACCATTTTGGAAATTGATTTAGCGCTTTCTTAAAAAGCTAGAAATAGAAGTACTATATGATCCAGCAATCCCGCTCCTTTGGAATATATCCTAGAGAAATAAGAGCTGTCACACAAATAGATATATGCACACCCATGTTAACTGCAGCACTGTTCACGATAGCAAAAAGACGGAAACAACCTAGGTGCCCATCAACAGACGAATGGATAAACAAATTATGGTATATCTACATAATGGAATACTACACAACAATAAAGAACAACGATGAAGCCGTGAAACATCTTATAACATGGAGGAATCTGGAGGGCATTATGCTGAGTGAATTTAGTCAGTCACAGAAGGACAAATATTGTATCAGACCACTATTATAAGAACTCAAGAAAAGGTTTAAACACAGAAGAAAACATTCTTTGATGGTTACGAGGGTGGGGAGGGAGGGTGAGGTGTATTCACTAACTAGATAGTAGATAAGAATTATCTTAGGTGAAGGGAAGGACAGCACACACTACAGGGGAAGTCAGCACAACTGGACTAAACCAAAGCTAAGAAGTTTCCTGAATACAATCAAACACTTTGAGGAACAGAGTAGCAGGGGTAGAGGTCTGGGGACCATAGTTTCAGGAGACATCTATGTCAATAGGCATAACAAAGTTTATTAAGAAAATGTTCTGCATCCTACTTTGGTGAGTGGCGTCTGGGGTCTTAAAAGCTAGCAAGTGGCCATCTAAGACGCATCGATTGGTCCCAACCACCTGGAGTAAAGGAGAATGAAGAACACCAAAGACACAAGGAAAGTATTAGCCCAAGAGACAGAAAGGGCCGCATAAACCATATGACCCAAAAATTCCATTCCTAGGTATATATGCAAAAGACTTGAAAACAGGAATGCAAATAGATACTTGTACCCCAGCGTTCATTGCAGCATTATTCACAAATAAGTAAAAGCGGAAACAACCCAAGTTTCTATTAACAGATGAATGGGTAAATAAAATGTAGTATATCCATAAAATGTAATATTATTCAGCCATAAAAAGAAATGAAACTTTGATATATGCTACAACATGGATGAACCTTGAAAACATTATGCTGAATGAAATAAGTCAGACACAAAAGGACAAATACTGGATGATTATACTTACATAAGGTATCTAGAATGGGGATATTCATAGAGATAGAAAGTAGAATAGAAGTTTCCAGGGACTAAGGGGAAAAGGAAATGGGGCATCATTGCTTAATGGATACAGAGTTTCTGTCTGGGATGATGACAAATTTCTAGAAATAGACAGTAGTGGTGGTTATACAACATTGTGGATGCTACTGAACTGTACACTTAGAAATGATTAAAATGGCAAATTTTATGTTATATATATTTTACCTCAATAAAAAAATAAAGATAAAAGAAAAAATTGAGATGACAAGAATTCAAGGGGGTTTTCACCTATAAGCCTGTCTTGTCCAACTCTTTTTCATTGCCTCACGTTTCTTTCTGACTTTTGAATTTTTATCTTACTTCCCCTAAGTGTCTTCATTAAGTCTCGGTCTTAAATCAAGGTGAAGATGCCTTCATAAAATCAATCCACTCATGACCTAGCATCTGAGCATGTGGATTTCTATATCCACTAAATGTTAAGGAAGAAGGAAATGATTCCTCCCCTACCCTCTTCCCTAAGTTCCTAAAGAGCTATTTCCTTGCAGGCTTTAAAAGGTGTTTAGACTAAAGAAGGGAGACATCTGGTGGTTACTCCTTGGTTGAAGTTCTTGTCCAACTCAAACAGAATGGGCCACAGGGATAAAAGTGCCTGCCATTTCTGTCCTAAAAAAGGAAGAAGGTTGAAAAGTGTAAAACAGAAGACTTCCTACACAGGTTTTTATCCGCTGTCCAGTTAGGAAATGTGTAGCTTTAGAGGCTTTTCTGGCAAGTCTAGAACCTAAACTC